GAATGCACTTGAAAAAAATAGGTTGAATGCTATTGCATTAATTAATAACTTTATATCTGTTTCATTTCGAGAAGCGTCAGGTAACATTAAATTACAAAGACATAAACATACATTCACGTGCTTTAAAAAAATTGTGGTAAATCAACCTCAGTATTGCAGATTCGAAGCACCTTTTATGCCTTGCCGATCGACTACAATTTTATTACCTATGCAGAAAGGGGAACCAGGTTTCAAGGATTATGCTAAACGTTACAAAGATATCCGGATTAATTTAGATAATCATGATTATTATGATATTGATTCTGTTTATGAGAGTAACAATATTAATTCAGATGAAGATTATCACAATATACTTCGAGCTGGAATTAAGAGGCCACGAGTTTTTATCAAGCGTCAACCATGTGAAAAATGGCATAATCCATTTAACCCCTTTATATTTAATATTGTTAAATCCAATATGGATATTCAATTCATTACCGAAGAATATTCATGTGCTAATTATGTCGCAGAGTATGTCAATAAAACTAACAGAGGCATTAGTGATCGTCAGCGATTGATTATTGAAACTATGAATGAACATCCAGAGTTTGATGTCGTTGAAATTACTAGGAAAATTGGTGTAAATACAGTCAAAACCGTTTACTGCGACATCGTTTAGAACAACATGCCGGTTATAATAACCAAGAACAAAGGTCCCGGCTGAATGCTATATGACCGCCTTATTAAAAACATTGCTTTATACGACATTGCTAATAACGACATACCTCATAAAACGACCACATTTAACTAATATTTCGGAGAATTAGATCTGTTAGAACGACCGGCTAAGCTGTATTGTAAACAATTTGAATAGGTATCCAAATTGAATAGGTATAGGTAAATTTGTCTTCAATGGCTATTAAAATCAGGAAAGAAAACAAGAGGATTTAGTTTAGTGTAGGGTTTTTTCTAATTCTTAGAAACAAAACACGTGTATGCGGTAGAGTCAAAGCCCGCTTCTTCATATTTCTTCAGTTAGTTTGTTACTTATCTATACACAAGACGCACCAAAACTGTGTGGAGTTATTCGTGAAACTTTCAAAATGTCGCGAAGAAAAAGAAAACAAATTAATATTGAAGAAAAATCGCGTATTATGTAAATATATTTTTCCAATAATTCCCTATCGATTTGTTTGTACTTGCACGATACACATTAAACATCTCCGATTGTTACGACTATCGGTTTTTACGACTGAATATGAGCAGTCCCTTCGATGTCGTTATAACAGATTTTGACTGTATGCTCAATAGTGTTGAGATAACAAGTCAGGATGGGGCTTGGTATCTCTTACGAGAAGCGATGTCGAAGTGTTCTACTGTAGTCACTACTATTCCCACTATGTGGCCATGTGATCGTCAACGTATAAAAAAAACACAAAAAGAATTAGAAGATTAGAGTAGAGAAGATTCAACTAATATTTGGAAAGAAAATTGGTTTGATAAATATGAACGCCGACACGAAGATTTGGAAAATATTACTCTTGCCCAGTTTGTTGCTAATTACACCATTAATGCAGACGGTACTTACACCAAAAGAAAAGTGCCGCGTGTTATCCGATACCGAAATTTTGATATGAGACAAGATCTTAATGAATATAAACATGAAATGGTTACTTTACATATTCCTTTGCGGAATGAAGATGCAGAAATACTCGCTGAAATTAAGCTTATCGATACTTATAACAGGAATGAAAATAAAATTTTAAATAAACGAAAAGAATTTGAATCTAGTTTGGACATCCAGAATGTAATTGAAATTTCTCGAAATTTATGCCGAGAAGATGGTTTGAATGATGAAACTGAAGTACAAGATGTTGCTAACATCACATCTGAACCAAATCCATTCCAAAATTTATATAACAATNCTGAAATTAAGCTTATCGATACTTATAACAGGAATGAAAATAAAATTTTAAATAAACGAAAAGAATTTGAATCTAGTTTGGACATCCAGAATGTAATTGAAATTTCTCGAAATTTATGCCGAGAAGATGGTTTGAATGATGAAACTGAAGTACAAGATGTTGCTAACATCACATCTGAACCAAATCCATTCCAAAATTTGTATAACAATCCTTTTTCTGAAATGAATAGTGATCTTACTTGTCTAGCAGTCCTACTTCATCTGAACCAAATCCATTCCAAATTTTATATCCCCCTCCTCCCTCCGTGCGTCGTATTCCTCAGAGCTGAGGGTCGTGACCTTTACGGAGCACTTTTGTTAGGACTATGTTCCTCCATTCACTCCTGTCCTCTGCGCAGTGGATAGCGACATTAAAATTTATATAACAATCCTTTTTCTGAAATGAATAGTGATCTTGTCTAGCAGTACTTAATAAGCTTGGATCTATTGCTAAAAAACGAGAAAATTTGATGCCAAATACAGAATTTTATGAATTGATGAGAATGGAAAATGACAAGCAAAAAGAGCTTTTGTTACATGTCATTTCAAATCTAAAAAATCCGAACCGTAGTCCATTTCAAATATTTTTCACGGGTCCAGATGGATGTGGTAAGACTTTCGTCATAAAACTTAACATGGAAATTTATAACCGATATAATGAGAATGGTGGATGCTGTAACTTGTACATCGCCTGTGCTTCAACAGGCAAAGCTGCTGTTGCCGTTGACGGAACTACCGTTGCCTACTACTGCCCTAAAAATATCTTATTCGAGATTACTTCCACTAAGCACTGCAGCAGTACATCAATATACAGCACTATTTAAATACGTCAAAGTGTTAATCATTGATGAAATAAGTATGATTTATGCTGAATTACTTTCTCAGATTGACTCTAGGTTGAAGCAGATTACTGGAGATTTTAAAACTAACTTTGGTGGCTTAGACGTTATTTTGATTGGAGATCTACGCCAGTTACCACCAGTTTGAGCTACTCCAATTTACAAACAGCAGAAGCAGGAAATTGTTGGACCTATTTTATGGCGTGGATTCAGATTTTATGAATTAGATCAAGTTATGCGGCAGGCAAACCAAGAGTTTTCTTCAATATTGACAACAGCTCAACGATCAGGAATTAATTTTATTGGAATCGCGATTTGTAACAATGCAGAAGGCCGAAGAAAAATGTCCACATGGAATCGGACTATTTAATACAAACTAGGCTCTTACAAAATATAATAACCGAATTTTAAGTACTGCTCCAAATAAAACTACTTCAATTGCTAAAGACGTATTTGTTGGCTGTACTTCAGCAGAACAAACAACTTTTGTCGGTCAAAAATTATATAAAATGTCGCTCATTGATACTCGAGGGTTGCCTTATGAAACCGCATTTGTGCCGAATGTTTTCTACATGATTACAAGAAATATCGATGTATCAGATGGCCTAGCAAATGGAGCTGTTGGAAAATTAGTTCATCTTGAATTTAATGATGAAGGAGAGGTGGATGTTGTATGGCTTGATTTCCCAGACTCACCAAAAATTTGTTAAAAAATAAAGAAAAAAGTCGCTGGACATGTAGCCTCTCATCAAATTAGTACAACTGCAGTACCGATCATCAACTATCATTAGTGTATGTTGCATTGACACGGGTGACTAGCCTCCAAGGTTTATACATTACAACAAAAAACAATGATAAAACTTTCTATCATGGCCAGAGAGTATCCATAGCTATAGATAGTCTTCACGAAGAATTCCGTACACTCTCGCTTAATCGCTTACAAACTATCAGCAATGACCTGTTAAATTTTATTAATCAAAAGAGCGGGTTAATAATATATACTTTTAACTGTCAAAGTCTCCGAGCTCATTCCACTGATCTCCTTGATCAAATTATGCAACAATCGAATGTTTTACTTTTAAATGAGACCTGGTTAGCCAATGAGGAGTCGATTAGTATACCAAATTTCAATTGCATAGTACAATATAAGCGATCGAACGTTCGAGCTGGAGGAGTTGCCATTTATCAGAATATGCACGACATTAGCAATATTATTACTCCAAATGTTGATATGTCTGTAAGACAGGCGGAATTGACAAGTTCAACAGTGACATCAGTTGGTGAGTTTTGTGTAGCTGAATGCAAAATGGAAGATGGCAACAAAAATGTTTTAATGGTAATTTACATTACTCCAAATAAAAAAATGAACGAATTATACATTTCCTGAAAAGAATATTATGGCCATATACAAAAGCTGGAAGAGAATATCTTAGTAGAGGAGAAGATAAATTACCGATAATTTTAAGTTGAGACTTCAACGTCAATTTTTCCCGTGAAGATGCTCGTCCACTTATTGATTTCCTCCAAAATGACTTGAATCTAGCCATGAATAACAATCCTCTGATTTCGACAACACGACACGGCACTACCATAGATGCTGTATTTTCACGATATCTAAACGCCGTTAATACAAAAAATTTCACGTACTTTAGTTATCATAGGCCACTGATAACTAAAGTTCCAATTCAGACATTACCGGAAGATGCTACGGCATTGGACATAATTTAAAAACAACATAATAATAGAATCGAATAATAATAGAGTTTATGTTACGCTTAATGTAAGAGAATAATAATAAATATTTATTTATTTAATTTTTCAAATGTAAACTGAACTTTATTGACTATAATGACTCCTTTTTCAGTCTTTGATTATTTTATTGTAATTAATTATTTGCATGCAATCAAAAACTATTTTTTAATAATGCCAAAGAAGTATAGCTTCTTACGGGCGTACATAAGTACACTCACCCTTTTTATTATTGTGTATTGGTACCTTAAGTCTTAAGTGGTTATTGGAGGCAACGGACATCATAATGTGTAACCTATCATTCACCTTGTATTAAATTATTGTTTGTATCATATAACAACTATCCCTAGCCCTAGCAGATATAGGGAAGAATGGGCTAGTAGCTACTCCAAACAGTTACAACATTGAATTGGTCCATTTACAATGTCTTTCAAGTCAGGTGAAGTAATCCTCCTCTGCCTATATTTCAGATGTACACAGTGTTGTGACAAATGTTCGTCCATCTGAGTCGACAGCTATTGGTGGCCTGCTAACTGGCAACACTACTAAAACAACAGCGATTGTAGACCTCACTAAAGAAGAGAGCAACAAACATGTTGCTGATTCACGTGAAGTTTCGTTCAATAAATTACAAGGTATGTAGGAAAGATATAGCATATAAGATAAGCAATTTTTTATATCTATCTATCTATCTTCTATATATATAAAAATGAATTTCTGTTCGTTAGTCTCGCCAAAACTCTAGAATGGGTGGACCGATTTAGCTAATTTTGGTCTTAAATTATTTGTGGAAGTCCAGAGAAGGTTTAAAAGTTAAATAAATATGAAAATGCTCGGAATTAAATAAAAATAACAATTTTGTTTTTCCTTTGATGTGTCCCCCATCGGACGGATTCCTTTTGTTTGTTTTAAGTTGATGTTATACAAAAGCTTAGGTCTTTTACGAAATCTGCCGGGTCAGCTAGTTATAATTAAAAATACGATTACGTTCATAATTTTGTGACAATAGCTTTAACATATTATTGCTTTACTATATTGTTCTAATTTGTAAATTTACATAGGTATAAATTAAATATAATATGAGTGTAATGAACATATTAGTTTAATGAGCCTTATAATAAGATAAAGGTTTCAAACCTTGTCTTTTGCAACATTCCATGTTGTTGAAATTGTCATCAATTTAAAAAAGCCAATCATGTTTCCAGGTAAAACATTCCCCTCATTGGTGGTAGTGGCTAGGCCATACCTACGTTCGAAGGACCAGTCCCCTCCTTCGGATCGCGCGGCGCTAGACAGCAAGGTCAAAGCGGTCCTCATGCACACCCCTATGAAGTTCACCGAGTGGCTCATACAGCAGGGACTCGTTAAGTTCGAACAGTGGTGCGCTGTCCATCCCGGGAACAAACTGAAACTTGGTTAATATTACTTTTAATTTAATTATTAACAAAAATAACTAAACATAATGTGTTTATATATATTAGGTACCTTACTTTGAAATTGAATTCCCATGCTGTGAACATGTTGTTGATTTTATGGTTAAATAATAGGTAATCGAATGTATGGTTAACCTGCAACTATTGTTCCCACAGGAATGTACTCCGATGTGATGAAGTTTCCATATTCTGGTGGCTACGTCTGGATATCGGAGTGCTGTCCCACACGTTTCGTGTCAGTGTACTGCAGCTCCATATTCGAAGGCGCGACCTTCCCTCCGAGCGTGCTGCTCAAGCTCATCTACCACTGGGCTTGTCAGACGAACGTACAGAACGTCGTGCAGTGGGTCAAGGTCGATAATCTATATGTGAAAGGTCTCTTCACGTGGTTGAGAGCGGTTTGTACTTCAGCGATACACCAGCACATGAGCCTACTGGGCGGACCAGGGAAGAAAGTCGAAGTTGGAGTCATTTCACTGGGCACTACGAGTCACGATGGAACCCAGCGACAGGTCAAGGTCGAAGTTCTAGGAGTATTGGATCCTGTTGAGAAACTGGTGAGTCAATATTTAAAAAGATTGAACATAATCATATATCGAATGAGGTTGATATAATATGACTAATCTTTTAATACGCAACCACCAGCATGTATGGATGATCTACACCACAGACAGCTGTGCCATTATATTTACTTTACTTTTGGTGATTTTTTTCAACAGTGGACGTCTGTGGGCTGATAAGAAGAAACGATTCTTTATATTTCTTAATTCATTTGAAAACTAAATATTCTCTCTTGAAACAGATTCGTCTGCGAGCTGTTGAACCATTAGCAGAACACGAGAAGAATTACAAGAAGCGCTTTCAGAAGATCCTAGAGCCGCTGACTGGCTGGGTGCATCTGACGTCCACAATCCTCACCGACCTGACGGTGGACAGGGGCACCCTGGTGTCTATGGGCTTCAAGAGCGTCCACCAGTCGTCAGCCCACTCCGACACCAGCACCAAGAACAGCAATGCCAACATCATGGAGTATTTGCGGCGCATCGTGCCTAGAATGTTTCAGAACACTCTGTCGTTACTCTCGAGACAGATAATACAGCAATTCCTAGATGAACTGGTTTGGAGAGAGAGGTAAGTTTATTTTTGATTCATTTGAAGTACTCTGTATATCTGCGGAGTTCTGTTGTAGTTAATTTAATTTTTTTCATTTTGTCAGTGATATAATTTTGCATCTTAGGTAATAAAAGCATCATAATTAAGTATTATAATCTATCTATATATATAAAAATGAATTGCTGTTCGTTAGTCTCGCTAAATTCGAGAACTACGGGACCAATTTGGTTAATTTTGGTCTTGAATTATTTGTGGAAGTCCAGAGAAGGTTTAAAAGGCAGATAAATATGAAAATGTTCGGAATTAAATAAAAATAACAATTTTGTTTTTCCTTTGATGTGTCCCCCGTCAGACGGATTTCTTTTGTTTGTTTTAAGTCGATTTTATACAATAGTTTAGGTCTTTTATTTATCGATTGAGGCACTACGAAGTCTGCCGGGTCAGCTAGTTTAAGATATAATAAAAGCATCATCTGCTACTAAGTGGAGTTTGCTGCAAGCATATGATTTAATTACATACCATACATTAAAAAAAGCATGTGCAGCAAATGACATATATTACATTAAAATGCAGGTACGGTGTCTCCCCGGGCCAGGCCTTCGACAACATCGTGACCCACATCTCCGAGCAGACCACCATGGAGTGTAAAGACGTCATCACAGTGCGCCTCAACAAGATCGCGGCGAACCCCTTCAAGAACTGGAAGTATCCCAGCAACAAGGTAACTACTCCGCATGTAGTGACTTCATCACCACCACACAACCGGCGCCCGTATTGTTAGGCGATCTTGTAGTTTTTTTTTAATGGCTTAGATGGGTGGACGAGCTCACAGCCCACCTGGTGTCAAGTGGTTACTGGAGCCCATGGACGTCTACAACGAAAATGCGCTACCCACCTTGAGATATAAGTTCTAAGGTCTCAAGTATAGTTACAACGGCTGCCCCACCCTTCAAACCGAAACGCATTACTGCTTCCCGGTTGTAATTGGCAGGGTGGTGGTACCTACACAAGAGGTCCTACCACCAGTAAAAAAATATATGTATGTATAGAGCACGACACCTTTATGAATATGCTTTTCTACATTTTAGAAAAAAGATAAAGACAAAGATAAAGCCGAAGAAGCTCTTGCTGATCAGGAAATGGGTCGCGGCAAGCGCGGCCGCAAGAAGAAGGAGCCCTCGCCCGCTCCGCCGCCCAAGAGGAAGCGCAGGGAGAAGACCACCTACGTGGACGACGACGAGGAGGAAGAGGTGAGCGCTGCTCTGCCGCGAGGGTCTCAGAGTTTGGTTTTTGCATGGATGGGTGGACGAGCGTACGGCCTATTCTGTTAAGTGGATATTAATGTCACCACCCAATAGACATGAGTCTTCATTGTAACGGCTGTTTCACTCTTCAAGCTGGGGCCGGACTGCTTCGCGGTGCAGGTAGAGTCACCCATGGGGACTCACAATGTGAACTGCCACAATTAGATAGGAAAACTTTGCCGCTTGTTTATTTCGTCACATAACGTTTTTCTTTAGACGTGGAAATCGCTCGCGTACGTACTTCCGTAGGAGAAACGGTACCTATACGTGGGATTTGAACATCATCATATATAAATTCATTCATTCCTAAAATCTAAATGGCATTATCATTAATTTAAATGAATCATCCAATTAAGCCCTTAACAATAACAATCGACCATCGGTCCAAAGAATAGAGACATATGCTCTTTGGAATTCCTACCAACAAAAGTAATACAACACAATCACAACCTGTCCTCCCCAGAATTAAAAATATATAAAACTCCTTTGTGAAGCCTAACATTATAATATGCAATTACTATTTCAGATACCTCTGGCGCAACGACGTGCTAAGATAAAACAGGAACAGGACAAGACTAAAGAGAAGAAGGAGAAGGAGGAGACTCCCAGCAGGAGGAGCCGCAAGCAACCCAAGACGTACGTGGACGACGACCTGGATGATATACCGCTGAAGAACATCAAGAAGGAGATCCAACCCGAGGAGACCGTGTCGATGGAGAAGTATTACTTCGGGAAGCTCGGCAGCGACGAGCCCGGGCCCAGGGTGGCTATTGCAGTACAGGTACGTGTAGTGTGTAGCTCTTAATGTTTGCTCTTGTCTGAAATAAAGGTGTTATACAAATATTATAAGTGTAATGTAGTGATGATATATTATACTAATTGGAACTTGCTTAGTTTAGGGCGAATTATAAAAATAATCTATGATTTTTGCAGTGAGAACAAATTACAGTGTCTTTCAACTTATCATGGTGTTCCAAAAAACCTTAAGTTATCTAGAACAACAGCAAGGAAAGCAATATGCAAGCAATTAGGATCTCGGCTATTGTTGTGGTGAAACACTAAAGATCTAAAACTAGTGCATAAATATATAAACAAATTTGAATTAGTTAACTTTAATTGGCTATAAAAATTATAATCAGACATGGGGTGTATTGCAGTTGTTCCTGTAATCGACAAAGCATCTTAATTGAAGAAAAACCGATATGATTATTAATTGAAGAAAAACCGATATGATTACAATCTTAGAATTGTTATATTCTTAGATAATCACTTTTTTTTTATGGCTTAGCTGGATGGACGAGCTCACAGCCCACCTGGTGTTAAATGGTTACTGGAGCCCATAGATATCTACAACGTAAATGCGCCATCCACCTTGAGTTATAAGTTCTAAGATCTCAGTATAGTTACAACGGCTGGCCCACCCTTCAGACCGAAACGCATTACTGCTTCACGGCAGAAATAGGCGGGGCGGTGGTACCTATCCGCGCGGACTCACAACACGTCCTACCACCAGTAAAATATCTCCATATATCATCCAAATATCTTATTGTTCTATGAATAATTTGTGCTCTAACAATTTCTGTTCTCGTAAACTCGAATATGTTGCTGAAAAAGTAGATAATTTTGCCCTATTTGTTATCAATAATATACTTTTAAATTTGGTTTTGCGTAAGAATATTACAAGTTAACCAAAATTCTTGTTCCAGTGCCCGGTCTGCCACGAGGAGTTCCACAACAATATAACCCTGATGACCCACATCTATAGCCACGTGGTGGAGCCGCCGGCCGGGGCCTCGCCCTCGGCGCCGCAGTGCTGCTACTGCCTGGTGCGCTTCGCCACCGAACAAGAGCTGGACACGCACTTGAAGCACACGCACCCCTCCGATACTAAGTCGCCGGAGCTCTTCACCTACGCCTGCTTGATTTGTGAAGTATGTATGAGGTTGTTTACGAAATTTACAGTCGCTGTGAGACTAAAAGATTAGTTAGCAGTTCACTGATATAATGCTTACAATATTAATTGATTGAGGAAATCAAACGAGAGGTAAATATTACAGAGGTAAATTGTCGAACTGTTTCATGTGCACGTGATCCTTTATACAACAATGTTAATCCTGTGCTTTTTATTTAAAACCTGCTTATAGGCAATCCACTCTTAAACAGCCCTCCACTTTTCAAATCAACTAAATCAATCACAATAAAATTATTAAATAAATAGTGAAACGCAGTGTCGGCAGGTATCTCATAAGTGACTTCGTTATTGTTTATCTGTACCAAATTGTGTTGTTAGGCTTGTTTAGACTTTTTGGCGGGAACGCGAGGAGTGAAGATATGTGATCTGCTTTATTTTGTCTATTTAGTGTTTCTTCAGGTTTAAATGTGTAATAACGGTAGTTTATTAATTGTTGAATATCTATGAAAGTGCAGAAATGTGGGAAACTGAAACAAAGCCGCTGGACGTAACTTCTCGGGATCCTCCAAAAACTCAACTGAAAAAATTTCAGTAAATGACCACCATTTTACTGAGATTATATTTCATCCCATAACATCTCATTTAATTTAATTTCATCCCATTTGATTAATGTCTCAAATTAATCATCTTCATTTCATTTCACTCAATATTATAATTTTTTATAAAAATAAGAATACGCATAAATTAAAATAAAACCTGACCTAAAGGTTTTAGTTACCAGGTCATAAAATCCTTTAACAAAAATTGGGCTTGTTTTGACACAATTTAATAAAGAGTAATATTAATAAGTAGTTGGTTGTGTGCAGACTCGTTTCGCGGCGGTGCTGACCCTGGCGTCGCACATGCAGCGCTCGCACTGCCCGCTGGAGCTGCCGTACGCGTGCGCCCGCTGCCCGCACCGCACGTCCTCGCACCGCGCCGCCGCACTGCACTACCGCGCCGCGCACGCGCACGACCACACGCTGCTGTGCCCCTACTGCCTCACGGTGCGACATTTATTGATGCTTTCCAATTTTGACATTAAAGTTCCCCTACGTTTTACTGGTGGTAGGATCTCTTATGAGTTCATTCGGGTGGGTACCACCACCTCGCCTATTTCTGGCGTGATGCAGTAATGCGTTTCGGTTTGAAGGATGGGACAGCCGCTGTAACTATACTGAGACTTTAGAACTTATATCTCAAGGTGGGTGGCGCATTTACGTTGTAGATGTCTATGGGCTCCAGTAACCACTTAACAACAGGTGGGCTGTGAGCTCGTTCACCCAGCTAAGCAATTACAAAAAAAACGTTTAATTGATCATTAATGCTCTATTACAAAACTAACTTGCTTCCTTCAATTCGTTTTCATAAGACAATAACGGTGTACGCGGACGGCTACGAACTGACGGCCAACTTGAAGTTATTCATGGAACATTTGAAGCAGCATCAAAAGAAGCTTGACGTCAAATGCTCCCGGTGTGTGCTCAGATTTTTAAATCTTGGTAAGTTTCTAACGCAGAATTGTGTTTTGTTCTACAACAGTAGAGTTTCATTTGTAAAAGTGTATTAAATGCGAACGTTAACTTCATTAGGTCACCTAAAAGACCACCAAGTACGTCATCACACCACCGTCCCTGATGCTGTCCCGCTCTGCACTGAAGAACATCTCATCACCAAACCCAAGGTGGGGCGAATTATCTTTGTATTAATTACTGCTGCCCTTTATCTTAACATAGACGGTAATATAAATACGGCAAATTGTAAAAAGGCTTGGATGGAATGTGTTAACGAGGATATTATGTAAGTGAAGGGAGTGAGTACAGAGGTGATATATGACAGATCTCAATGGAAAAAGAAGATATCCTTCTCCCATCCCACATGATGGGGGATAAGACCAAGAAGAAAAAGTTATTTGACTTATGATCACTTTCAAATCTTACTCTCTCTGTACAGTTGGGAGAAGTGAAATTCTTTGATGTCACAGTTTCATCCAATGGAAACGTTTCGAATATATTTTCTAGACCAAGGCTCGTCCGCCGGTGAAGGACTGCGCCAACCACAACATCGTGGAGACGTACGAGCAGATGACGCTGGTGCTGCCCGAGGGCATGCTCTGCCGCGAGTGCGACGCGCCGCTCGACAGCAACAAACACTTCCTGTGAGTCGTCTTGTACATATTGCCATTTATACTTTCAACATAAATACTACATATATGAACCATACTAGCTGTACCCGTCCGCTTCGCTAGGCATTTCAAATTAACATTATTATTTCTCACCCCCACAAAGATTCTCGTCATTAACGCCCCGCAACTGGTGTAGGGAGTCCAACACTCATATAAATATTAGCCTATCCATTAAGTACGTGTATTTTCTACATGGATACCAAGTTTCAAGTCAATCGGATGCACGGTTCAGTTATAACGGAACATCCGTAAAAAACACTTTCGATTTATATATTAGTATAGATAGGTGCATGAGACGATAGACATTGAACTGAACGGAACAGGTGTCCAAATGGGGTGAATTGGAACTGAATTAAATTCACCCCATTGTACACATAGGTTTGCGCATTCACGTGTGAAGTAGGACCCTGTGATTATGGCGTGGCAATTCCAAGGTGTGTCCCTGCAGCCTCCCTAATAGAACTCTTGGAATTGAGCTAGAAGTATTGCGTTAATCTACAGTACAGTGCATTCCCGGTGCAATATTTACAATTAATAGGGTAATTGTTGTATAAACAAGATTTGTTGAAATTAAATTAAATCCCAGAAAACTAAGCCGACTAAAGGAAGAAGAAGGTATTCACAAAAATGCGTGTTCTCTCAACGTTGTGGTCTTTGGTCCCCGGGGCATTGTCCTGGATTGCTGTAGTCGAGTTTATTGACACGCGGACATTCCCCACATGTTTGATAAGCTAAAATTCTTGTTAAAACAGTGTTTTTGAATAAATATTTTTTTGCTGTTGCGCGCGCGGTGACAAGCCGTCTTCTCGCATTAAAACTGTATAATCTCAAAACTTACTAATTTTACAGGAGAATGTTTGTAGTGGTTTTATTTTTTACCAGTTACATTATCTGTCTTTTAAGTAAGATAAAATTGTGTATTAATTTTGTTAATAGTAGTGACACATAGGTAAACTAAAAAAAATATTAAAACTTAACTACGCTCTTTTGACAGTATTTATTAGAAAAATACTGGTGATACCAAATGATTCCGCATATTAACAAAATTTCGAATATTTTTGGAAATTGTACACTTTTCGAAAAGGCGAGCGCTGACTCAATTCGCCTTCTTTGTCCGCTAGGAGGCGTGTTGTAGATTTTCACAGAGCCGATAAATGGCGTTGATCGGGAAAAGGTATATTGAGTCGGTTTCGTAACAGTAACGTGTGTAAATTACAGAGGCAAGACAACGTGCTCGAAGTGTTCGTTCTCGACGTCGTGCTACCGCGCGCAGCTGCAGCACGCGGCCGTGTGCGCCGGCCCGCACTGCCTGGAGGACGCGCCGCGCGCCGGCCCGCCCGCGCACTGCGTGTGCTCCTACCGCACCGCCGTCAGTCAGTACCGCGCAACCACTACCTTGCCTACGAAATACTTAATTAAACATAATACCTTAAATGAAGTAGCTGTCAGTGTGATTAGTGCGAGTTTCTTAACGTTTTCGATAGCGTAAAAGTTAAGCCAATTTTTTTATGCAATTGGAACAGCGCCCCTAGCCACAAACATACGCAAACGATCCCATTCCATATAAATATGAGCTAACTTTTACGCTATCGAGAACGTTAAAAAACTCGCACTAATCACCCTGGAATACAAAATGCAAAATACTTTTAAGTGAAGTATTTCAGATACCAGATTCTAGAACGATATCTGAAATACTAGATGTAAAATACGTACATATGTTTTAAATACGTTTTATAGATAAATTTTCTTTTTTTAAACGCTTTGAGTTAACTTTTACGCTATCGAGAACGTGAAAAAACTTGCACTAAGCACACAAACAGGTTTAATAAGGGCTTAGTATAGATGAGTGTGGTGCATACAAGTGTTAACGACGTTCTCGCAAGCTCAATACAAAAAGTTAAATATAGTTGAAATAAAGGGGTCATTAGTGGTACAACACTCATGAATGTCACTTCACACAGAACGGTTCATGTGTCTTTCATTAGAACCTGTTCATAATTTTATTAAATCATGGACCTAGCTCATCATTATAACAATATACTAATTGCATTATTTACTGAACTAACAATAAATATTTGTCGTTTTGATAAATTTATATTCCGTGAGCACCCAAAGTAATGTGATCTCAGATATAAGACGCATACAGCCTGCTTTAGAAACCGCAAATGAGTCACGACTGTATTTAAAAAAAAGGACAACCCCAATACGGTGAAAAAATTTTTTTTTTAATCTAGTATTATCCTAATTTTTATGCTGCCAAAATAAGTTTCTGTACCTACAACTTCGATTTAAACGCGAATTCGTTCTAAAATATTTATAATTACCAACGCAGTGTCTTCCATACTGAATGTGTAAACTTTATAATTACAAACAGGTACAGATATGCTGACACACTTGCTGGCGTGCGAACACAAAACCGCCTACAGTTCTGAGGAGGAAGCTCGTGCTAACATCGTACGAGCCGATGAACCCAAGCCCCCTGAAGAACCGCAGCCGCAGCCCCAGCCTCAACCGACACAGGAAACTGTAAATTTGCAAGCCTTTTTCTATTTGATTTTATCTCACGAACTGACAGCTTATTTTAATGTCTCAAAGTTGGCGGCTAAATTGCGTCACTGTTGAGAATGTAATCCTTCGTAGTTTGTGCAGCAATCTGACCCAATCTTGACGATGTCATGTTAGATAGTAGCTACTATACTAGTATAAGTAGTAGTTGCCAGTCTCACGATACGATTGCCACTGGTTATGTGATACAATGATTTAGTATATAAATTAATATAATAAAATGTAAATAATAATTAAGGAAAACAATTGATAAAATAAAATTTAAGTAAAGAACAATATTATGTGGTCAAAACAAAAAGCTATCTTTTTGTTTTGACCTGGGGCACCTGGGGCTATTGGCGTAAAGGTCTTTGTAATTAAAGTTTAGTATGTATTAGGTAATTTTTTCTTTTAAGGTTTTTGCTTTTTGTTTTATTAAACCATGACATATTATTATGTGATCAAATTAAATTGAAATATTCATAATTTTTTCTTTCAGCCTGTTGTAGAAAATGTCCCCACTATAGCCGATTATGCTCCACCATCAGTGCTGAACACTCAGTTGTCCCTCGACGACTTGGCTCCGCCCTCTGTACTACAAACTGACCAGGTAAGTCTTTATAACAATTTAGTTACAGTTAAAACTACTATATGCATATAATTTTCGAATACTTAACAGTTTAATTGTGCTCCTATTATTTCTGATGTTTCTAATACTCTACAGTTTTTTTTGTAGTAGACTAAGATTTTACTCGTCAACATTTAATTTATGTGCTAACTATTGCTAAACTTTGAGAAAAAATGATTTATGTACGTTTTTTTTATTACCTCTTAATGTGTGCTTTTTATTACATCTATTATAACGAACAGTATTTGTAATAAGTAACAGAATCTGACAATTTATTTTACTTGGCCTTTCATATTCTATGAGAAAATTCTAGGTCTCAGATAAGCCCCAGTGATGTCTCATTTGTAAATGTATTTAATTTCAATGGTCTCGCTTGTATCCCATTTGTAGAAATGACTTGTTTTCTTTAGTATTTGGGTTTTGTCAAATTTTGTAAAATTATTGTCACCATTGCCTTGAGTATGTGGACAAACTGCAGACTTGTTTTGACACCTGATATCCTGAACCCCAATCAAAATGTGCCTCTTGGTATTTCTTGTGTATTTATTGCTTTTTTGTAATTTAAATGACATTAAATTTTTGGAAAAGCTGTCTAGGGTTTAGGCACACTAATAATTTAATAATTTACAAGAAGTAAGTTTCGTAATTTTAACCCATTTCCACAGCATGATCAGGAATTGTTGAAGGATGCATATGATCGACCCCTGGCTACCCCACGACACGAAGACCCTCATTACAGTCTTGGAGATTTTGAACCTCTTCCACAGGAACCACCCCCACAACCAGACTTTGAGCAATTATAAAATGTTTATTTAAGGTGTAGAAAATAATTCTCATATTATGATATACTTTGCATAATTTAATTTAAGCAAAAATATATATTTACAGCTTTTCTAATTTAGATCTAAATTCCATGAAAACACATTGTGAACAATTCAACCATATATAAAACTTTAAAGGGTTTTTTTTCATTTTGCTTGCAATTTTACTGTATGGCTATAAGCTTTGTTGGGTCTAAGACGTGGACTTACGTGTCACGAAACCTTTTTCTTATCATAAAAAAAATTAAGTTAATAAAGCGATTGGAATATACTTATTGTTTTATTTTTTTCTTTTTTTTAAATGTTAAAACCACTTTATTACATACACCATAGTCTTCAATGCACTGGTCATCATTATCTAAAATTAAACTATCATATGCCAAATGGTAAGTCTTCCAAATGTATTTCCAAGATATCTTCACTTTGAGCCCTGTTCTCTTTTGTTGAAGTTCAAAATGTCTTGCCGTTGCTTTTTTCAGATCACGAACTGTTGCATTTTGTGGTACCTACCAAAATTCAGTCATAATACTTTAGTATTATACATACAGGTCCCTAAGTAGTTTTTAAAATGTAGATACATACAATTACTTTAAGAGTAGGTTCTGGGTCTCTAGATATAAATATTGTTATTGACTGTCCATTTTCCACAGCAATCTGTAATAAACTCAGAAATATTCTGATTAAACAATTTCATAATATAATAATATAAAATGGCACCTGTTTTCCTTCATTTTCATGGTAATAATTATAATTAATAAAAGTGCTTGAGCGAAATTGTTTCCTATGTTACTATTGTTATAGACTTATTTATGAAACATTAATGTACATACATAATATTTAATAATAAATATAATATTTGTACAAAGATACAAACCCTGGACAGAAATCATACTGAGATTCAGAGTATAGTAAATGATCACTGATAATTATACTGAGGCTCTCTAAAAAGCATGCGTAGTAACGTTAGGATTCTAATACAATTAGAGTTTTTCTAAATCAATTACTTCATTGTAAGATTTTTTGATTTGAAGATACAAGAGATTTTGGAGATTTTTAATTGCAGTGATATCCTGATATGACCAATGAGAATAAACTCAAACTTTTTTAAATGGTTTTTTACATACTATGGTATAAAATAGAGGGTTTCAAAAAATACATTTTAAACAAACCTTTAAAGTGTAAAATTAGTGATGATTTTTTAATTTAACAAAAACTATCTTTCAATGTTCAAATTGTAATTTACTTTTACCCGTTTTACCTGAGATACAATTTCTTCTAAAATAATATCTTGTGGAAGATCACTAAGCAGAGGATCAGTCCTAAGTAGCGTTCCAAGGGTTAATTGAGTTGATTCTATAAGATCATCATGACTAAGGTTACTTAAATTATCGATGTCCATCTTATAGCTGGTAAGGAACTATTATAATTAGTACATCGAGAGATACTAGTTAGTTTCACATGGCTATCACTTGGCTATAAACATTTTCCAATTAGTTTCTTTATTTACCTACCATAGAAAGTAGTATTATTTTTCCAACTGGAAAGGCAAACGTATCGTACCACAAAGCCTTATCTTTTAAACATTTTTTTATATGAAAAATGATATTATGAAAAGATATGAAATGAGATGAAATTATATGGAATGAAATATAATCTCAGTAAAATGGTGGCTATTCTGAGACTTTTTAGTAGACTTTTTAGAGGATCTCGAGAAGTTACGTTCAGCGGCTTTGTTTTATTTTCCCACAATTGTGCGCTTTCACAGATACTAAACAGTTAATAAAGCACCGTTATTACCCATTTAAACCTGAAGGAACACTAAATAGACAAAATAAAATAAATCACACAATTTCACTCCTCGCGTTCCCGCCAAAAAGTCACCCTACCATAGATATTTTTTTTTGTACAATTTTTCCTTATTAGGAAAGGCAAGGGGATCTAAGCCCAGACAACTTTGTCTGTTGTTTAGAATTTGTCCTACCATAGATAATACACTTATGTTTAAGAGAGAAGTTTATCATTGTTTATTTTATCGACGACTAGGATAAGCAACGGGGAACAATGGGAACAGCTAAGATTTTATTTTGGAAAAACCGAAGCCGTCTTTTAATTGATAAAAATTGTGCGCGTGCAGCTTGGTGCACGTGAAAAAAGTAAAACTTCTTTTGCGGTGTGCAGTACTGTGGTTTTCTTAATTATACATCCTTAAATCAAATTTATCTTGTAATAGGGAATGCTGTGTTAAACGAGCTAGCTCGCTTTGTTTTTTCCCTCTCTCCATGATCGAGTGGTTCGCGAGATGCTGTGTCTATTTTCTCACTCTCGCTCTTGCTAAATCGTATATTTTCTCTCTAGCCGTAACGAATCTTTTGCGACTTAAATTTTACTATAAACGTGCCTAAAGAAGTTTCACTTCAAAAATGGAATAGAATACAACGATATGAAATTGGTAAAGTTGGTAAAATTGGTAAAAAAAAATGTATTGTAAATACAGCCACTGGCAGCGTTCTCTACAAATTGTTATGGGCGTAGTAGACAAAAAGTACGCCAAAACCGAAACCTTTAAAATTTGCATTCTTCAAATGTTAATCGTGAAATATTGTTCAAACTAATATTATAAAGAGGAAAAATTTGTTTGTTTGTTTGTTTTGAATAGGCTACGAAGCTACTTAACCGATTTGAAGTATTCTCTCACTGTTTGGAAGCTACACTATCCCCGAGTGACATGGACTATATTCTTTTTTTTTTTAAATATGGATCCTTACTAAAATTCCAATAATGTGACCCAAGGTGTGAAAAAATTATCTAAAATATTCTTTACATCGCGTGCGCTGCGAAAACTATTGATGATAGAATAAAATAATGTACTATGACTTTGTATAATTATACCACAATAAGTGTTCTTTTACTAAAACAAAATGAAACAAAGTCAAATATTGCTTACAGGGAAGCTCTGACTCAATATACTCAATGGCTTTTGTTTTGTGTGTGAAAAATAATAATATATAAAAAAAAAAAAAAAAAATATCATTTAAATGAAAATAAAAGTTCATTAAAACAATAATATTCAAACTATCTTTATAATTTTATTTTTTTAACCTGATGCAAATAGAAGGGTTGATGTGTGTGTGTTATAATTTTATGTTTTCCAATTTTTTTTTAAGACCCGAGCGAAGCCGGAGCGGGCCGCTAGTATTTTATATGTTCAACTAACATTATATAATATACAACGTATAAAATTTCGTTGCTTAATTAAACATGAACTTAGTACATAAATACCTCCAAATTACTTAATTAATAATAAAGCAAAATATTTCAGAAAATCATAAAAAGACGTTTCCAGCGATTTTGTTCCATTTCTTTACATTTCTGCATTATAAAAGAACAAATCATTAGAAAGTAATTATCGTTACATATTAGAACCTGGTAGATACTTAGTTAACAAAAATAAATAATTATTCTTATCAAGTACAAACTCAGCTTATTTAAATGGTCTTTTACATTATTATAAGAATTTGAATAAAAACATCGAATTATGATTTGTTTTATCTACTAAAATGATTAAAGTCTCAGGCAGATGTTTCGTGTAAAAAAAAACCACAGTTGAACATTAAAAATACCTTAGATTCAATAATTAGGGTTTATGGATTACCTTCCCCTTGCTAGTCAAACATAGTTTTCGACTTACTGTCACTCACTTTTAAATTTAGGCCATTTTGAGGTTATCTAATGCATTTAGTTATTCTACATTCTATCTTTAATTAAAAATAAAATAAAAAACACAATCTTAGAATTGTTGCAGTAAATAAAAATAATAATATAATGGATGCATTATCAACTGGGACGCTCAGTGGCGCGCAAAAAGAAGAATTGATGGATCAAGTAAAACAACAGATCGCCATAGCGAACGCTCAAGAACTCTTAACAAAAATGACTGAAAAATGTTTCAAAAAGTGCATCAATAAGCCAGGTACTTCTTTGGATAGCTCCGAACAGAAGTGCATAGCTATGTGTATGGATAGGTACATGGATTCATGGAATCTCGTATCGAGGACATACAGCAGTCGAATTCAACGCGAGAGAAACAACATGTAAGGCTGTAAACACTACTTCGGGAGTAAAAACTTTGATGTAAATATAGACTGTAGTAGTTTCATAAACTTTTGTCGATGCCGCTGGTTTTGTTAATGTGAAAATAAAAGGATTTTAAGTTGTTAACCTCTTCTTTTTTGTACTCTTTAGCACTAGCGAATCGTCTTTTGCGACGCCCGGTATATTCGTGTAGAGTGATGTAACTAACTATATGGATGTTCAAATCATACAGGCTGACTTAAAGTTTTCCATAATCACAAGTCACTCATTTGGAAGGTATAATGCACAGTAAAACTCATAAAATCAAGTCTGTTTAAATTGTTTGGGGATTTTGTATGCCTGATAAAAATACACATAAAATTATAATCTCATCTTAAGCTTAGTGGTGACATACACATTATGAATATGTCCATAAGCTTTGGTTGGCACTAATATTAGGAGAGCAATCAGCGTATCAATCCTACTAGGGCAAAAATAGCAAACTTCTGTTTTACTCAACAGTTTTCAACTCTCAATACAATGATAAGTCAGTTTAGATTTTTTACTGAAGTAAAATTTGGAACACTAAAACACCTTATAAATTAATATAATTAAAAAATGAGCATGTGTCATGAAAATACAGCTATGCATATATTTGTAATAGTAGAAAATAGTAAAAAAAAAATTGTCTCAATTTAAAACCCAACAAGTAAAAACTGGTCTATAAAACCAAATATCTTAAACACTGACTCAGACAATTAGTTAAACTTAGACCGTGTGGTACAGTACAGGGTTCAACATCATCAAAATGAATAAACAAAAAAATTCAGCAATAGAAGGCTTATGGCGAAGTAAGTTTGAAAACTACACACATGATGTACAGAAATGGCATTTGAGTGAAATTACCATAATAATTCAGCTTTACAGATTAAGTATAAAGTATTCATGTGGGTACTAGAATGGGAAAATGAATTTTTATGTTAAAGTAGTAAATAAAAATTGTGTAATCAAATTAGTTTAGGGATGGCTTAGTACTAAGACTTAGATACTTAAGACTGCCAATGTGACCTGGAGTGATGTCAAGGAGCAAGCACAAGACAAGATAAAGTGGAGACAACTTGTGAGGGCCCTATGTACCAGCGGGGTACCCTAGGACTGCTACAACAACAACAACAACAACAGTACTGAGAATTATGGAATCTAAATATGTATATGCGAAGGAAAATCTTTATAACCCTTTAAAGCACAATGTAATTTTTTATTATATTTGAAGGTAGACAAACATCCTTATTTCTTCCTTAGTTGTTCACTCTTGACACAGTGCAAGACCACTCTGTCGAGAGACTTGAGCTATGCATAAAGCAATGCCCCCACCATTCACCTCCTTTCAATGAGTTTTGGCCTCCCTGGAGAATAGTATGATGATCCAACCAACCGAAGAAGCTAGGGTAGCGACAGCTATCGGTATGATAGTATGTGCAGGTACCATGATTTCTGAATTAGTTTACTAACAGATTTCTACAGATACTAATTCTGTAGTACCACAATGTAGAAATTAATGGGACACTACTGTGATTCCCGCAAGAGTTGAATGATGAAAATTCAATACAGACGCCCTGACTAATGTTGCGTAGTTACCTCTCATGGTCATGTCACAGCAGTCAGGACACACTGCAAGGGGGTTCATTCTAAAGACGCCTGGTACGCGAAAAAGAAATGTATGGGCACCTTGGATCAAAGCTGTAGTTCTAAGCATACATTTCGGAAGGTCTCTGTTCTGATTGTGGCTGCATGCGATGGAAAAAGGAAATGGTGGCATAATCTTTAACACTCTTCAGTGCAATCCCCATGATAGCATACAATAAGAAAAAGAAGAAATTGATGCAAAGGTTCTAAATGGTCCTTGAGAATGAAATATAAATATATACCAATGCTATCAGTATTGGTAGTATTTGGGAGCGGCAGACCAGAAATAGGACTAGTACTCCACAAAGGAACAACCCATGGTTTGTAAAGTGTAAGTCTTTATCCAAGCCTGAAATTCACTCTGGATTTACATTTAATTTTCCCACAAAAAATTGAATTTTCTAGTGTTGATAAACACTCACAAGACACTACCACAAGTAAATACTTACAGAGTTCACGCTCTTGACACAGAAAACTTAAGCTGTATTTTATTTTACTTAAAATCTTGTCCCGATTTCTCATAAGCAAGTTGCTGATCAAAACAGGATTTATAGAGCCTTTATACTGTATACTTTTAACCTATTAATTACTCATTCATAAATTTTTGCTATTCATTTTTTTAAAGATTTTTCTATTCTAGTAGCATTGTAGATTACTATTTTTTTTTCATGAAGTGATTGTAATTACATCATTTTGAACGAATAGGCTTTCTGTACACTAATACCCATTAACCGAGTTAGATTATGGGTCAAATATCAAAGCAGTTGTGGTAGAAAAGTTCTGGGTTCATCATTGATGTGAATATAATTTTAATACTGATGAAGATTTAATGTTGATTTAATTGACAATACATTTTCTTATGCATTATTACTTTATTACTTATATTTCACCTTTCAGCATTCTCTTCCTGTACTGAAATAATTTTTTTATCCACATTTCCTTTAAATCTTCTTCATTTGGAATTTCCTGTTAACAAAATAGATTTCAAAATTATATTTGATCACAATTACAATAATATTACCAGGTATTATATATATTATAATGTGTATTAAATATACATAGATTTTACAATATATATAACAGTGTAGGGATATAAAAAAAAGTAACATTAGATTGGCACACATTGTTATGATCAGCTTTTCTAAATATATGTTTTGAATATATTTAAATTAAAAACTCACATTTAAATCAATTACAGAATCTTCCTTTTTAATCTTTACGTCCGTTTCTGGAACCATAACAGTCTCTGAGTTCAAATCTATCACTATATTCTGTTTTTTACTCTTTGATGAAGTGGATGTTTTCTGTACAAAGGAATCACTGTCTAATTCTAGCAATAAATTCCTGTCATGTATGGTTGGCATGTCTTCTTTGATCTCTTTTTGCTTGTATTCATATGTGGGGATCTTGGTTAATGTGAGGCCTGCAGCATTTGCAGCTTTGATGGCCTTTTCCACTTCTGTTTCAGTATCTTCAATATGTATTCTTCGTGAGCTTATAGATTCTGAGCAGAAAACTTTATTTTAGTATCAAGATTTTTTATACTAAACACATCTTTTAAAATTTTAAAAAAATATCGTGAATGTAACTCACTCCTAAAGCCTGCAAATTGATATATATCCAGATCTAACATGAGTCGAGTCAAAGCATTTATTTCGTTAACACCTGTAAAAATTAAAAAGCTATTTAATACATACCTATGTCAAATGAACTTGATCGACTCCTGGAGCGTGATCTTTTTGATTTCTTACTTTTATATTTGGATCTACATTGTGAGTTTGACCTGGAACTATCCCTTTTGGAGCGTGAACGTGAACTTGATCGTCTCCTAGATTTCGATTCATATCTGTCTCTAGATACACTTCGAGAATGACTTCTTCGTTTGTGCTTTGAGCGTGAACTTGAGTGTTTTGATTTGTGGCTTGACTCTGAACGCTCTCGAGATCTCGATCTACGCTTGTGTTTACTCTTTTTTCTTCGATCGTACGACGCATCCGAACTGCTTGAAGATAGTTTTCTCTCACGATATTTACTTTTCTCGCGGGGCATTTTCCTTGTCTTGTAATTGAGCTATAGGTTATCCCATACGGTACCTAACAATTTTATAATAAATTACCGTACGATAACCTCCACTCACTCAATGTTTTAAAGTTACTTCTTGATTCTTGTTTAATACGTATGGCAACATGATGGCAACTGGCATTGATTTGTCATTTATGTCAAATGCCAATTGTGTCAATTTAATTTTATATATTTTCGTATAAACTCAGCATTTTAATCATAATAGGTTAAACGGAACAAGAACCACACAATATAATCTTTTGAAAAAAGTTTCACTATAAGACATGTCTATTGTTTAAAAAGTGAAATAAAACAGAAGAAATAAAATTAATGATGGATTTTTTATTGTTTACATGTGTAAAATATCTCAGGGCCGACTTGATATACAATGGTTACCGAAACCTAAATATATCCCAACATAAATGCTGAAAAATCCATAAACCCGTGTTGAGGTATGAGGTCGAAGTCTCAATTGTAGTCTGTCCCTCTTTCAAACAGGAAGACACGAATGCTTTATGGCAAAATTATGCAAGATGTATCTACCCGTGCGGGATTAAAACACACCATACCAAAAGAAACTTCCTATTGTCGATCGTAGAAGGATGGTGTTTCACTCAGAAAATGCACTTGCCAGTTCTCCCAGTCCAATTTTTCTCACATCCATGGGAAGAAGTAGGGTGGTTCTCTTCTAGGTCGACACCCAGACTGAATAGGTTAAATTAACTAAAAATGAAATGTGGAGGGATTAAAACCACCGTAGGCGTTGAATGAGTTATTACGAAATAACTTTTAGTAAAATTGAAGGAATTTACTGAAGCTACATGGACATTATCCTTAGATACTAAAGTGCTAGCACAGATCCAACTATTTTATAAACTGACAATTTTACAAGTAGTATTTCGAAAAAAAATTTAATTTTTAAAACAAAACAATTTTTTAGAACTTTGCCAATCATGCTCCCGCAGAGAAATCTCGTGGCTGTTAGATGAGATACAATTGAATTGTCAGGCAATAACATGGAGTTATTGCATGTTTTTCTGGACTTTTTGGGGGGAACGCGAAGAGTGAAGTTGTGTGATTTGTTTTATTTTGTCTATTTGGTTTTTCTTCAGGTTTAAATGTGTAATAACGGTGGCTTATTAACTGTTTAATATCTGTGAAAGTGCACAAATGTGGGAAAATAAAACAAAGCCGCTGAGTGTAACTTCTCGGGATCCTCCAAAAAGTCCACTGAAAAAATCTCGTTAAATGACCACCATTTTACTGAGATTATATTTCATCCCATATCATCTCATTTCATTTAATTTCATCCTAGTTGATTAATGTCTCAAATTAATTATCTTCATTTCATTTCATTTCACTCCCTATTATCATTTTTCATAAAAATAAGAATATAAATTAAAATAAGACATGACTTAGGACTTAGGTCTTAGTCACCAGGTCATAAAATCCTTTAAAAAAATCATATTTTTCTATTGGACAGGCAAAGGAATAGCCAACTTTGAATTATTTCTATTAGTTTTTTTTCTAAAAGCGGATTTTGTCCAATTTTCTCATAGTATAGACATTGCCGTAAGTCGTCTTTTTTTTTATAAACATAAAGATAGTGAAAATACCTTCTATGTGTATCCCATTACTTCATCCTATATATTGTTACATTTATTTTCCACATTATGAAAAGGATAATGACGATAAACATCGTAAATTTATCTTAAAAATTTGAAAATCTACAATATTTACGGCAGTCATCACAGACAGACAAGTTCAAGTTTTTAAGATTTATAACTGTCATCGTTGGCAAACGAAAGAAAATCGGAACGTCGCGTGGGGTAGCGACCGTCAGTCAGCCTCGATGACGGAATGTGTGAAAATTATAAGATGGTGATCAACTGTATTTTGTATTTTGGCTATTGCAATTAAAAGTAGTGCTTTAATTTTATAAAAAAATGTGAAAAATGTGTTAAAGAGTGATCTCACACCATCCGAAATTTAAAATAAGTATAGTGAACTCAAGAGTGAATAGCTTGTAGGTGCAATCGTTGACATTGTTTCGTTAAAAATCTTTGAGTCCATCGAGATTGATATGTTTATACTGGTCCTGTGCGCTTCTTTGACACCTAGCATATGGCTTAAGAGATCCTGATGTTGCTGAAGTTATGGAGAAACTGGATATAACGAATGCCAACATGGAGGCTACAGACTTTGTAGACACAAAACAGGTGAGAACTGTTTGGCCAACTGCCGGTCTTTCAATAATTTCTTCCTCGACTCGTTTACGTTGCCTTGATGGTTGTGACAGTTTTGTCACAATATGTATAAAACCTTCACAAAATCCAACATTTACACTATTTCAAAAAGTTTTCGAGTTTGTAATTTTGAAAGAAAAAAAAAACAAATATAGGNTCCTCGACTCGTTTACGTTGCCTTGATGGTTGTGACAGTTTTGTCACAATATGTATAAAACCTTCACAAAATCCAACATTTACACTATTTCAAAAAGTTTTCGAGTTTGTAATTTTGAAAGAAAAAAAAAAACAAATATAGGAAATCTAACAGTTGTGCGTTTAAGTATCACGTTTTAATATAAAAAAAAAACTAAAGCTATGCAAGGTAAGAAGTGGGCGAAATAGTCTCAACCCACACTGAATAAATTATTGGTATAATGCTGTCATGAACTTTATTAGTCATGTCCAATACTACACTAAAATGATTGTCACATGTAATCCACTTGTGTAATGTTGAAAAAAATAATCTAATTTCTATAAAACAGTCAAACAATATCTGTATCAATAATCACACTGTATAATATCATACTCATTATTAAAGCACAATATGTATGCAAAAAGTTTCCAACCAGATCATAATGAAATAGCTGAAATACCTGATACCATTCATCTGAAAATCAAGTAAAGTATAAAGATGCTAGTAAAAGGACTAGGATAATTAGTAAAATTGCTTATTCAAAAGAAACTATTAACGTAACTATTAATTTAGTCTGCTTACAGTTGCATTGGCTGCGTGATTAAAGTAAACAAAAGAGTTTTATCCACTTGTTTAATGCCTTATAAACTTAAGAAATTGTTTAGTAAAAACCAAAATTAAATTACAAGGATACTGAAAACATTCTTAACTGTTCTAAATTTGGCTATCAAAGTGATAACACACATTCTTATGTAAATGTTTGATAATAGAGTCACAAGAAATTCATTTGTTTTCTGTGAGATTAAGAGTGACTTCAATTCGACAGAGTGTATGAGCTTTGCATTCATCACTTTTCTGGTGTGAACTTCTTTGATGAAATAATTAAAACTATTTTTAGTTTAATCTCAGGACTTTTTAATGGTCATTATTTTATTTCCATTGTTCTATAATGATGCCATTAGTAATTTATCTTGACAATACAAATAAAATTTTCACATTTACAATACACTTCATCTTACAAAGGTAAGGGTTTTTGCTGCGTTTACAAGCACATGGTACAACTGATGATGAGAGGTTACCATTGATAAAGCTCAGAAAGACCTTATTAACAACTTGTAATCTTTAAAGTTTATTAAAATTTTATTAAAAATATGTTTTTCAAAATGGTATAAAAAATTATTGCATAGATGGCTGGACGAACTCACATCCCATCTGGTGTAAAGTGTTTACTGAAGCCCATAAAGATCAACAACGTAAATGTTGCCTTCCATCTTAAGACATGAGGTCTAAGTTATAGGCTTACCGTAAAACATCTGCATCGCCTTCAAACAGAAATGCATTTTCGCTATCATACTATCAGTTTTATTATTTAAATATAATTTTTTTTTGGTTATTTTCTCTAAGTTTTATTTTTGTTATAAAATGTTATTTCTTCAACATGGAAGCTATTCGTGAACATCAAATGCTCACATATGTAAATACCACCATTCATTCCATCTATTCCTGGTGCAAAATATCAATGAGTATATTATTAAACATTATAATGGAAACCCTCCCACTTTTTTGTGCTTGTTGTGGCTTTCATATTGTGACCTCCAATAACTTCAATAACCACTTAATATCTGGAATTTCCATCTAGCAAAAAAAAACATACCTACTTCTTATTTTGAGAGATTCATTATCTTTAATATTGGTATATAGTATATTTAATTTTGAGGCCATAAATTTTAAATGAGTAGGTTGAATATGTTAAAATTTACAAGTGAGAAGATGGTGCTTAAGAAACCCTAGGTTGTTTTTGATCACTAGCTTAAGATAGATAATTTGTAAGCCATCTGAATTAATTATTGGTATTTATGAGTAATTAAGTAATTTATAGGCAAGGTACTAAAGTATTTATAAAATCACCTATAATAATGGTCATTCTGTGTAATATGAATCATGCTCATTAAGAATGTAATATCTTTCCTCTTGAAAAATTTTCGTTCATCAACGTTCAACTTCCTGAAAGCTCAGAGGGAAGTCACGACGGAAGTACAAAAAAACTAATAGTTCTTATCTTTAGTTTGGCATGTAACCGCTCCTAAAGCATCTTGGTAGGGGGCGCGGACGCAGATCCAACTCTGAGTTCGACGCGCAGTTGGAACGGAGTCGGGCGCACTGCACGCCGTGCGCCTCAGCGGCCAATAAAAACATTCTCGCGCGAGTGATGTCACCTCGAGTACTAGTGTTGTAGTGTCCTGTGATTGTGCGTCTAATATGGTAGCAATGGTAGCGTCTGGATACGGCACGCTACGCCGTTTTCTAAGCGCCCCCGAGGGCCAGCACAGCGCCAATGAAGCAGGCGTCGCGTCCAGCGCCTCCGTAGCCGTCTCGGTAAGTTAACGAGAACAGCTATCTCGACGAATTACTAGCGATAACGTTTGGAATGTGCATGATAATGATGCAGTTTATCGTAAGGTGTGACACACGTGCGTCGATGATTTAATAATTGCCTCGGTATATTCATTATATATCGATATTCTGCGGTGTAATATAATGTTGATCGTGAAGTACAAAATATAAGATTGATTCTTAAACGCGCATTGTGTTTTGAAATTTATCAAAAAAACGTGACTGAACTAAGTTCCTAATACAAAAGCTAGAAAGTTGCACTACACAAGTTCATTAGAATGTCTACGTGCGTATTATATTTTGCGAAAGACGAAAAAGCACTGTTTTACATACGCATGCGTGAGTGGTTGGCGAAATATGTAATTTAACCGGACCGTTGTTCGTAGCAGTCAGTTTCCCATATCGAATATTAAGTTGTCAAATCGTTCTCTATTTATTCGAAATACAAAAAAAATTTGAACGGCTAAAAAAAGATTCCGGACAAATCCATCAGTCTGGCTGTAACCGTCCAGTGAGAGTTCATCGAACTTACTTTCCTTTTTAATATTCCGATGTGTTACATTATCGAATCAAAATTCCGGCCTTGGCCTATCGCGGAGCATTAGATTATTGTTTTTGCCGATGATGTCACTTAGTCGGGAATATGCGGGATGATCGTTCAAGGCTAAGCCAACAGACCGTGGCTGTATCTCGAGAACTACGGCTCGTTGGTCACCGTCCGCGAAAGGAGTGCATCACTCACAGTACTGGTTGTGGTTACCGACCCAGATAACTTCGCTTACTCGCTTTTTACCTTGCCAAATTAATAAGACTTCCGTAGATTCTTGATGTGGATAATTGAAACGGCACGGTCCAATTCTTCACTCTGCAACAACAAGGGAAATCATGTATCTAATAAATTTAAAAACATAAGTAAAAATGTTTTAATACAACTGTTTGAATGGACAATTGAGGCCTATAAAATCAAAGGCAGCTAAACGCCATAACGTCGTAAAATGGATTAACTATGGCGCTATCTTGCTTAGTTAGTTGGATACGCTTTAGTGTTTTCATGTTATAACAAATGCAGCTAAATCTATCAAATTTAGTTCAAAAATTTTATTTTTACTCAGTACCAAGTACTAATAAACGAAGTTTTATCATTTAAAATTCAGATTATTAGTAATATTCTCATTCTTTATAAATCTGCTTTAAAATAAAGAATATCGTAGCTATTCGAACAAAGTTATTTCAGCTTCTAAAACCGGGAGTGTTGCTAACACTGGCCCTAGCAAGAGCAGTATTTCGATGGATCGGGAGGATCCGTAATGACGTGTTTAGCGCGGATTTTTGTAGTTTACCTGAATATTTGAGAGACTTGGATTTAGCTGCCTTTGATTTTATAGATCACAATTATAAGCCATCAACAAGAGAACTTTTGTAAGCGGAATTTTTTTATTACTAATAATCACGATTTGGTAGTCAACGATCAAATTCTCGCAACATGTAGTAACCCTTTCTAAATATATTATGTGGGGAAAATCACGAAAGTATTATTGTAATTGTGATCTCGTAATATGCTCTAAGTTCTATTACAAGAATTGTTTACGATTTGAAATTTACTTATTTGATGAATGAAAGTGTGATGTAATAAAATACTTAATACTTTATTGGTTGCGCATTAAACCTATGTGGATAACGTAACTGTACATTACTTGCTTGCAACATAGGAATGTGTGTTTGTAAAAGGTAAAGAAGCCATAGAACTCGGAGCCGATCGATAAAAGTGAACTAGGATTTATGCAATCTGCACGCATAGTGTATGTTTGGGTAATCAAACGTAATTAAATATAATAACAACTGAATTGTAACAAAAATATTGATTAAAGTAAGAACGGCTTGCTCCTAAAATAGGGGGTGTTCCAAAAATATGACAAGTCGTCACAACACAGTGAAGGTCCCATGAGCTCCGTCATCCGACGTCTTGTGTATTATTAAATACCAATGATAATTTTTGTAATAATAAAAGAGAAATACACGTGTAATAAAATTACGAAATTCGAATAAAGTGCCTGATTTCAGTTAAAAAATAGCAATATTATATAAAGGTAACCCTCCTATTATAACACGGTAGATACGTTCCTACAAAGTCCCGTAATGTGCGAAACCGTGCTATATGAGACTAGAAGTCAGTACAAAAAAGTGAGTAATTTTCTGAATGAAACATTTGAAGTATGTATTTTTTTACCTATTTTAAAATAAAAAACAAGCAGTATAATTTCGCATATTGCCATATATTGTGTGTTCATAATAGATAATGTAATTTTTCTAAATTATTTTAAACAAAAATCTCGATATCGTGCTGTAGAAGTACCGTTTTATAAGACGGTTTTGGGTAATTTCTTTTTTTTTCGAGTTAAAGCGG